TGCTACATGAAAAGAATTGTGTGATGGTGCATCGTCATGTGGCAGAAATTGGTCGTTTGATCGGCTTAATTCCTTGAATTGCTTTCTGAAGATCTGTCCATTACGTCCTTATGTAATATGCGTATCCCTCAGAAATAAATGGTATGTAATTTTTCCTTTCCCAATCACAAAACGGTCACCAACATGTTCTTTATTCGAGATTTCTGAAACTGAAACTTCTGCTGTCGTTGTGAACTTTCTTCAGCCAAGGAAATGATTGCCTTTTTGACCCCGGATTTTTAAGTAAAGCAAAAATCTCCATTTCTATTCACAATTTGTTTGGAAGAAGAATCAGGATTAATAACTGACATTTTGAAATTCGATCTTCTTTTTATTCAAAGTGAAAAAATATTTCTTGTTTCAGTATAGTCCACGAAGATTTTGTGAATAGTGTCTTTACTAAAATAAAGCTCATCAGTTATCATTCGAAGACAAATAACAATTCAGCAACATTTATCGAACATTTTCGATGCTCTGATACATAAGGGACTGCTAAACGCACTAATTTTGTTTTCGTTATCAACGTCACAAAATCGTTTGTACCGACGTAAAGCATCGCATTGTGTTAATCCTTAATTTGTGTAATTTTGTAATTTTGAGTATTTGATTTTGTGGCATTTATTGTAATCGTAATTGTTCATTTCGTCTAATATGTTATATACTTTGAAATTTTGAATCACTCGATGGTTGAATTGTGAAGATAGCTTAATTATACCTGAAATATGATCTATAGTTCTCCTGATGGGTATCGCCGATATTCAAAGATTTCTCGTCAGTTTGACGATGTTGTGGAAATTTCCAGAAACAGCATTTTCGAAACTCTAGGAATAATTTTCCTCAAGCTTTCAGAAACGTAGGCAATCCTATAATTAGGGTTGCTGTGTGTTCGAGAATGAGTATTCAATGATTTACTTTAGAGTCGTGTGGCTTGGATTGTATTTTAGAACTTGCTCAGCGAGTGAGTTTTGTGATCTAAGATAGTCTTCGTGTGTTCAGGAAAATTTTGTTTATCTCTATCTTTTCTTCTTCAGCTGCAGTTTGCCAGTTGTAGAGCTATTTATTAGGTCAATTCAATGTCAAAATTCCAATGTCCTTTAATACAGCGCTTGTTCATCTAGCGCAATTATTTAGGATGCCTCAGAAAACTTGTAGCGCTATAAGACATCAAAATAAAATTTTTTTTTAAAGGTCTTTAAATTCTTTTCACTGGGGGAAATACTCATTTCCATAATAAAGGTAGCGCTTTGTGCACCTTTAAAATGATTGCTTCATTCTGGTAATAATTTTGTTCTTCAAGAACTGCATGATATTTAATAGATGTCTGAAATAGGTATTTAGACGATCATTGAAGTTCTTAATTAGTTGTATACTAAATGCAGGTTTTCATTTAACAGCTATAATGTTGTGAAACTCTTTCTTACTTAATAATATTAATGTGGTACAAATTGTTCTACAGATGAAAGCTAGAATTATTCAGACAATCGGTAGGAGAATCAAAATAAAGTTAATGATGATTATCTCATTAGATATGGGTGAAATCGCCCCCCTCTGGGATCGGATCAGAACAGTTTGCTCACTGAACTAAATCGAGAACCTTTCATTTGACTCACAGTTCCTTAACAGTAATATTAATGAAAAAGATCGGGAAGGAGCAATGACTTAAGAGCGGAAAGAATCGAACAAGCCGTGAGATCGAAAACGGTTAACGAGGTTTCAGCGAAAAGAAAGTACTGAAGAATCAGAAGAATTGACTGTATCAAACGCTAACTCCCTGGGCTTATTTATTTCAGTTGTAGATTTGAGATTCTTTAAAACCTCCTTCCTACATAGAACAAAAAATTTCTAAAATTAAAAATAAAATAAAAAATAAAAGACTGAGAACTGATAAAAGTTAAACGCATTAACATGGGAGAATAAATACCCTTTTCTCCTGTCAATGGAAATTGAAATTTCTTGGCCTCGCTACCAACAAGAGTTCTCAGTGGATGAACTCTAAAATAAGCTTCGCTCTTTTTTCGCGAATCAGGAGTTCACTTTGTCAGCAGATTGAATTTACTTAGTGAATCATTCTTCAGAGTTTCAGTTAAGTGAATCGGTTCTTTCAATCATTTTTGGAGCCATTAGTCCAAATCTACACCTCACCTGATTCAAGGAGATGAACATCCAAATTTTCGAGCTCTAAATATTTAAACAACTCGAAACGCTTTCAAAATTTTCGTTACTCAAATTTTCTGTAAACAACCCATACGCAATGCTTGTTTTTGAAACTATTGGTAGCAGGTATATACTTCTAGTTGCAAAGGTATTTTAAATGGTGTAAGTTAAAATTTGCGAAATCTATGAATTTTAATACTGGCTTCCAATCCACATACTTATACTATTTAATAAACGTTTATACACATTCTAAAACAAGAAACAGGAAACGTTTAAGACAAAATTAACCACAGTATTGGAGTTCCAGATCATGTACTATATATATTGAAGTGAGAAACGTTTGCATTTTGCTACTAAGAATAAAATATCAGCTTAGAAAAATGTTTTTGCTGTTAACAGATTAAGTGGTAAAAGCTGCTAAGCTGAAAATGAAAAAAAAGCTTCTTTTAGCATATAGTTTTTCAGAAAGGATATCTTATCCATAGAAATTTAAAGAATTCATATTCTAAGACACAATATTTGGCATCAGCGTTGGGACACAACCAACACATTAATATTATTTGTTTAAAATTAAAAATTTTCATTATTTCTAAGATAATTTGTTTTATTTCTATTTTGTATGCGCATTTCTTTCCAAGAATTCTTATATTATGATTTTAAAGTAATAAAACTGCATGCAAATATTATTAACTAATTTTTAACAATTCATAAATTATTATTGTGAAAATGCTTGCGATATATCAAATACAACACAATAATTATAAATTAAAGAATATTGCACAATAAATTATAACAAGAATAACAAGGAAATGTCACTGAATGAAATACAATGGGAAAATTCAATCTCGATTATTCCAATTTATTTTTTATCCTTCTTCTCAAGGAAATCCAAAAAGATAATTTTCTACGTTTGAAAAGTCTAAAAAATACCACGTTTGAAATCAAATATCTCGACCAGTTTTGTCATTAGGATGTCAAATTTGTGTGCTTTATTTATTGCAGTTAGTAAAACCTTTTATCAAGTGTAACTATATAGATCGGAGAGGCCTTATCAAAAGTTAAATTCAAATGTTAATGATTCTAAAGGTTTTAAAAACTGATTTTTTAAATTTTAAAAATAGAATAACAGTAATAATAATTACTATAAAATGTTTTGTAAAACGTTTTTTGTAGCACAGTAGACTCTCAATTACAAAAATGTTTTTTAATAACTGTAATATTCATTTTTCCTCATTTTAAATTTAAAGAAGTCAATTTTGTGAAAATTACTAAATGTAACTTTTTGCATATTCTTCCGACTCATATATTCAGAAACATTTTATACTCGTTATAAAAAAATAAACTACAAAATGTTTGGTCTCCGTAAGATACCAGTTCACCGAAATATTTAATATAGAAATCGGAAATCATTTAGGGACCGTGAATAAATTGAAGAATGAAATGTTTGTATCTGTACGTGACTAAAAATAAAGTATCGTGTTAAAAAAATATTGCTCTTATAGAAATTATGTGGCAAGCATATCTGCAGATTATCGCGAAAAATACTGATCAACGTAAATTTATTTTCAAAAAGAAATCCTATTCACAGAATTTTACAGAATTGTTGCATCAGAATTCATGTTCCTGGCTTCAATATGGCTCGCAATTAACTCGCAATATTACTCGCATTAATTTAAAAGGATAACATTTTGTAGTTCAATGAATTTTTTAGACGCTTCCCAGTTGGTATAGTGGTTAGGGGAGCCGACTGCGATACCAAAGGATAGATGTAAATTACCTGTTCCTTCATAAGAGGTAATGGTGGCCGCCTGTTAGGTGCCTCCATAATAAATGACCACCACTTCTGGTCTTAGCAGTAGCAAAAGCCTAAAAATGGCTAGCACAAGTCATAGTAAAAAATTGTACCAGATTATGACTCTAAAGTAACAGAACTTCGTAAAAATATTAATAATATATTTTTAGACGTACGCTATACTTGCGTAAAAATTTTTCGGCATGCCGAAAGTAACAAAATTATAAATAAAGACACTAATCAATCACAAAAGAATGTCATTCAATGACATTTAAAGGAAAAAAAGCAATCTAGAATTATCCTAATTTAATTATCAACCACTTTATCAATGCAAATTGAAAATTATGCAAAATACCATACATTTTGAAAAAAAATTGGTTGTATAGGTTGTACCTTATTTTTATGGCCTTTGTGTGTTTTTTTTAATAATGAGTATAATGGTTTCCAAAATAAAGTACCGGAAATGATTAAAATGTATTTTATAGAAAATTCATTTTGAAAGATTTGAAAATACGGAACGGGAAAGTTTTCTTCATTTAAAACATTTCTCTGAGTGGAAGTATATATCTGCGACAAACGGTTACGAAAACAAAGGCCTGATAAGAACTTCTGTGGATGCGGCGTATACATAAAAACATGAATATTTATCTAAAAAAGAACACTGAAAACTATGACAGGAATTTAAAATTTCAACTTACGCTAAGAGCACAAAACATGATATCTGCTACAAAAAAAATGGCGACGCTAGGGTTTTCTACCTAAAAGAAAAAAAGAATCAATTCTATACTTGCCGAAGAAATTTTAAATAGATGCTTAATGAAGGAATGTTAATGAAGACATCTTACCGCATCGGGAGCAAAGTAAATTGAGACCGTCAACTCCAGAATGGTGGCACCAGACACAGAGGCAACCCACGGCAAAAGAAATAACCGGTTGTCCTAGCTCAGGGAAGAAACAATCATGTCAAACAGGAGCATTCTTACAAAATGCATAGCATGACATTAATTTCAACAGAGCCATTTACGTAATAATGAAAGAAGAGCAATCAAGAACATAATCTCCTACAAGCAAAAGAAAATAATTTGTATGCAAGGAAAGAAAATCACCCAGGAACTTAATCTTCTGGAAACAAAATTAAAAAAACAAGCAATTTCCTTTACGGTATCAAATGATAAAAGAAATTAGGTTTGGGTAGAATTTTAATTTCTGAAATGGATTACACAGTTTGCATTTTAATAAATACTTTCTCATTATAATAATCTGTTTAAAAATAATCCCGTATTTTGCGAAACTGCAATCATACCAATTCATTATTCATTTTAAATTGTCGTGGATTCTTCTTTATTTTATTAATCAATTAAACTTCAATTTGAACCAAAAGGGGAAAGAAGTATTCGCTAGCAGTAGGGTCCTATCCTGAGTTTTCATGCACAGCAGGCTGAATACCAAATTAAAAATAAAATGTATTAATGAATGCAATTTAGAATTACATGTATTCGAAAGCAGCCTATAATATTTGCGTATTAATTAATTACATAGTTAAATATTACACTACATGTAAATTAATGAAATGTACACAATAAAAATTAAAAGTTCATAAGATTAAGGTCTGAAATATTGATATGGAAATTTTTTCAGGTACCATTTGCGAACAGTTGACAGAGGATGTTTACACATTTTGTAACGATTTTGACTTTCTCCACTGATTTAAATATTAATTTTAAAATATAAACATGACTAGTATCAAATTGCAATAAGGTTTAATTATCGTATGTAGCATTAAACATATACTTTTCTTTAAAATGTAGCTGAAAAATATGCAATAGATCGAAGATTATATTTTTGCTCTGTCCGAAGAGAAATACTCTTATTCAGTTATTAAAAAAAGATGTGAAAAGCATGGTTTTTATTATTTCTACATGTAAAATAAATGACATAAGTAATGTGAAAGGAAAGAAACATCAAAGTTTACATCTGACGGGGAAAAAAGCAAAAAATGCACACTCAACAAAGGCACGTTCAGCTCTTATTAAATCAAAAGTCGCATTGCGTGTTTTAAAGAAAAATCCAACCCCCCAAAGAGCTATTGCAAAATCTTTAAATACCTCTGTAGGAAATGCGAACAAAATTATAAAATCTGATTTAAAGCTAATCAAAATACAAAAGTATGATGTTCCTCGCCTAACGCCGAAGCATGCCGAAGCCGAAGAAGACTAAGTACAGATCGCTGTATGAAAATTATTCGGCAGGTGAAAAAAGGAAGTTATATAGTAGTTATAAGTGATGAGGCTTGGATATACTGTTCTTTTTCAATAGAAAAAAAAGATCGATTTACTACAAAAAAAAAAAAAAAAATAGAAAAAGACTTAATATGTTGGTTCGAAGAAAACAAGGAAAGGTTTTCTAAAGGTTTTTATGGTTATTACTGGATTCTCTTATAACGGAATACTTAAAATAAGAAAAGTAGAAAAAAGTGTCAAAATTAATTCGGATTACTATTAGAAATACGTTTTAACACCTATTTTTAAAGTAGAAATTCCATCTCTTTATCCAAACAATCTCCACTGTGATAAGTTTCACCTGGAAAAGGCTCCAAAATCATACCTCTAAACCTACTGCTCTGTTTTTCATAAAAAATGAGAAATGAAACTAGAATTGAAGCTGTTCCCTTTAAAGGTATCCCCTCCAAGTCCCCTAATGAGTATCCTATAAATTACTGTGCATTTGGACTTTTATAAGCGGTATCCCAAAATATTGGATGGACTTTGCAAGATTTTGAAGAAGGACTGGAATAAAATTAACCTGATGTTTTAAAAAAAGGACTATTATCCTGGAAATCATGTAATATGATAGTTCAATAAAAGGACTATTAGACTGAACATATTAGAAAATAAAATTCTGAGGTTTGTTTTGTAGGGTTTTTATTAATTTTCAAAACAAATTTATTTTAAGTTTTCCTGTTCTCAACTTCTCAAACTTTCCCTCACATTCTCTCGCCAGGATGTAAATTTAAAGTTAAGTGAAGTGTTATTTAAACGTGTGATTATCTCAGTTTATTCAGAGCGTGTTTCGCTAGCCTAGCGCACGTTTCGTTGTTATTTCGCGGTCACGCTAGTAAGTCTCTTGGCCTTATCAGTTCAGTATCACGCCGGTTAGATTTCTGCGAGTCCATCTCTTAGGAGTAATTTTGAAGTGCGTTCTTGCACTCGTTTATTTTTCAGATTTGATTTATATTATAGTCTACGTTGAGTTGCCGCCGCAAGTGAACGGTGTTTTTGTAACGCACGAAGTCTGTGCTTCCTGTTAAATTAGTTTGATTCAATAAAGGGTTACTTTGCACCCTTCTTCTGTGCTGGTATTTAATTCACGTCTGTGCGAGAATTCGCCATGTTCATTGTAGGATCTAAGTTAGTGTATGTGGACAAGTAGAGATAGATCTTACAGTTTATATATAAATCTTTGTAAATTTCGTTACAAAAATGTGTGAACACCCTCTGGATAATTTAGAGTCGTGATTCAGCTTTGCTTGAATGATGCATATCATACAATAATTTGTTTTCAATTGTAATCAGTAAATCAATATGGCTAATCAATTATTAGTTCATCCTAGCACCTGAAAAAACTTGAACACTGGTACAGTTAATGCCGATAGTTCAGGGTTAATAATTCAGGGACTCCCCCAGTCTTTTAAGTTTCCTTTATCATGTTACGAATACTGATGGGGGTATTTACACATAGTATACATTTACGAGTCGGTTATTTTTAATCTCCAAAGCAAAACAAAGAAAATTCAATTCAGATAATTCGTAAGCCTAGCGTTAGATATATTTAACAAAATTTCGGATAAACTGAAGTTAGAAGAAAGAAATTTCCCTGCGTTCCCTCCTCTTGTCTTGGACATATTACAATTTCACGATACAGATAAAGGATTTCGCATTTTTAGATACACATTCTGCTTGGAAGAAACAAAATCTTTCTTTCGTGTATTCACTTTATGTGATCTAAACCAGTGCTTGTTAATTGAAATAAAATAAGACTATTTCCTTTATATAGTATTCGTATGATTTTTTATTTGAAATTTATAGAATCTTTCAGTTCAAGCACTAAGGAATATTCATGTTAAATTGTGCCCACATTTTCTACTTAATTTATCAGTCTGTAAAGCTTCTAACTACTTTCTTAACTTAATAGAAGCTTTGTTGAAATATGTAGCGACTTATAAGTGTGTAATGAAAAGTCCAGAGAAAAATTAAACTCACCATTTATTATCTCAATCTAATAACACAAATGGTCTCTTTCTCGGGCCTCCAATAATTCAACTCAATATAAGAAACTAATCTAATGTTAAACTAAACTGAACTTAGCCGAAGCTGGAAAGAATTATCTTACGTAGTTCGCCATTAATTCAATTAATTCAATTAAAGGGAGAATATCTGCAAGCCCGCAGAATTCAGCCGAGCGTAGTTAGCTTTACACAACGAAGTAGCCTAAACGCAAACATGTGCCACTTTGGACTCCTAACTAAGCTATAGTCTTCGTGGCCTAACGGATGAAGTAAGCTAAACCTTTTTTTAAATACTCTTTCTAACTCATTTACATGCAACGCGACACTGAAAACTTATTCTGGTGGAGAATAATAAGTGGAAAACGAGAACAGACAGCAAAGCATCTTTAAAAATTAAAAGAACTCTTAGAAACTTAAAATAACATCTACAACACTTTCTAGCCAAGATAGTATAGACATAACCTTGCATAGTATAATACGCAAGAGAATGTTAGAGGGCGTAAAAATTCCATAAGATTGCGAAACAAAAAGAATAAGACTGCGAACTATCAGATCCATGGTATGCGACCATTATAGGTATAATGCGATCATTTCAATAGGAAGAAATACCTTAAAAGGGGAGAAAAGGTAAAGACAGAAGAAAATAAACCTTCTTTAAAATACCTTTCTTTCGTAAAAATATATGTACTCTGCGTAAGTATTCTAGGAGTCCCAGACTTTGTTTGTGATTTGATCGGTAGTAAACTAGTACTTGATTAATTAATACTGAATTGTGCTCATCTAAAATCAGGTCAACTATTGGGAACAACTAATTTTAATTTGGACCATAATTAAACCCAGTTATTTTGTGAGTTTTTTCAAACTGGTATTCGCTGGATTCATAGAGGATTAGCGCTTAATTTAAAATACTGAGGCAATATTTTATAACACAGTGAAAGAACATGAAGTTGCATTCATAAGAAATCTGTATAAGTTAAAGAACAAAAATAATATTCCTTTGTGGATAAATTTAGATGTTTGAAATATGGGAAGAAGCTTAAAATATTTTCCCCCCAAGTGTCAGCTCTCCGATAAACTTTACGTTTTTTTTATATTTCTTTAAAACTCAGTTTTTTTTGGGGGGTTTTATTTTCGTCATAAATTTACGCGTTTCCCTAGTCGACCATTAATACGTAGTCAGAAGAGAGTTCGGAAGGAAAAAAAGCATTGGTATTTTGTATCTACAAAAACATACAAGAGATATTTACGATTGCATTATTATCCAGCCGATGGCAGCACACAAAAATGATAACGATAATGAGAGTAATATCTTCATCGGGAGCTACAGCGCGTACCTCCATCTATTGGTAATTCTAGTACTCGGAAGAAGTTCCAGAAGACCATTTTTCTGACTGCTTGCGGCTTTTCTTGTTTTTTGATAACAATCTGATTTTTCATTTGGCTGAGTTCCATGAAGGTTTCATTTTTAGATTTTTGATAAAACGGTTCTCGAGAGTAGGATTTCCGACCTTCTCCCTCTATCCCTTTAGAAAATACAATTTTATTTATTATTATTGCTAGCAGAACTCGCACAATAAAAAGGAAATGAGTAAGTTCTGAATGGTGTGTCGGCTGTAGAATCTCTAACTCTTGTCGTATATATGATGAATAGAG